ATGCATAGAGCTCTATGCATCCGAAGAAGTGAGGTTTTTACTCACGAAAGCTTATGCCCAAATAAATCTGTTAGTCTTTAAGGTGCCACCAGACTCCTTGTTGTTTTTGTAGATACAGACTAACACGGCTACCCCCTGATACTTGACACCCTTCAAGAGAGTTTATCTTCCCTACTGCATTTCCATTTATGTAGATTCAGAACTAAAGAACACTCCTAAATAGAGTGACCAGATAGAAAGTGTGAAAAATCGGAACAGGAGGTGGGAGGTAATAGGCACCTATATAAGAAAAAGCCTCAAATATTGGGACTGTCCCTATAAAATCGGGACATCTGGTCACCCTACTCCTACAGTAGAAACAACGAGGAGTCCTTGTGGCACCTTAGAGACTAACGAATTTATTTGGGCATAAACTTTCGTGGGCTAGAACCCACTTCATCAGATGCATGAGGTGAAAAATACAGGAGCAGATATAAATACATGAAAGGATGGGGGTTGCTTTACCAAGTGTGAGGTCAGTCTAATGAGATAAATCCACCTACAGTAGAATTCACCAGGACCTATGATGTTATATGGACAACATAAATTCAATTTTTGTGCACTGAAAGTTAATCACAATCTGTGGTGGTGAAGTGACAGGTGGGATCAGAGTTGAAGAACTCAAGTATCCACTCTTTGTGCTCTAGAATCAGAAATGTAGGGCCTGATACTTCAGATTTATACCAGTATGAAAGGAGTAACTACAAGATAATTAATGGAGTTACATGGCTGTTAAAACAGTGTGAGAGGAGAATCAGGCACTAAATTCCATATATGTTATTAAAAGTGCAATGAATTCACCAGCCCTTTCTCCTTTTCTTAGATGCAGCATAACTCCACCACATGCCAGCTGGCCAGAACAGGGTTTCTCTAGTCAAGAAGAATGCAAAGTGCATGCCAATAAAAACAGATCATAATTTCATAAAGCTATCACTTTTTTTATACCTGTCTAACAGGTATGTGCAACAGGGTAAACAATAGCAGGAGTGCTGCAGCTAAATCCTCAGACATTCTGGAGCGAGACCAGGCTGGCTTTGTGCAGACAAAATCCTCACTGTCATCAGTAAATTTGCATACATAAGGACTGCAGTGAATGTTTACATGTCAGCATTTCATAAGGGGGAGGGGCGGGGAATTGGTGTGCACATTTTCTACAAAATGTCCAAATAAGTTTCTCCTCCAGAAAATTTGCCGAACTCTCCTCTAATGAGAAGATTATTAACAATCAAAGACAAGTTTACACTTTGGAGAAACACAGAACTTTTTCACAATTCCATTTGGGAGAAAGATAGACATTGTTATTATTTCTGCTGTCAACAGCATTTCACAGGCATGTAAAAACACTTCCCTGCCGTAAAGATCTTCCAATCCAAATATCGGTTACAGTATTGGACTACTACAGAGAGCGCCTCACACAGGGACAGAAAGAGAGCAAGACTCCTCCGTGTTTTGTAGGGTGACCAGACAGCAAATGTGAAAAATCGGGATGGGGGCGTAATAGGAGCCTATATAAAAAGACCCAAAAATCAGGACTGTCCCTATAAAATCGTGACATCTGGTCACCCTAGAACAAGGGGACCGAGAGGGTGACAGACGCGGCAGCAAAGGAGACTTGGTAGTGACAGAAGAATGAGGACGGGAGGAAAGCAGGGGAAAGCATGAGAGCTTTGACGTAGCATCCCGCATATTTCATGCTAATGGACTGGGTGACACATCTTCATGTCGTTTTTCTGCTTCCTGACAAGGTTTAACCTAGGCATGAAAAACGACTGTCAGCTGCGCCGCCAGAAGCTGTTTATTGTTAGCTGGCTATGAAAAAAAAAATCTACCTGTTACACAACACGCTGGAAACTTGCTGGGAACCAATATCACACCCCTGCCAAGTGCCAACTTGTGAGAGTCACAAATAGGAACCGGGGAGGGGGGGGGTGAGAAAAAGCAGGGCGCTGAAATGAGCACTGAAACTGACAGGGCCGGGAGAGACAGAGTTTGGGAAGTTGCAGAGGGGCAAAGTTTTGCGGAATTGAAGGCATGCCCGCCACACACAGGCGCTCGGGCATGTGCAGTCCGGTGGGGGGGGGGGGTGTCCTGCCTGCAAAAGGCAACAGCAACACCCCACAGCACGTCGGCAAGAAACCACCAGCAGTCAAGTGACAAAGTCAAAACAAAACTAAGTGACTTCTCCTGTCCCACAGACCTGAGCCTGCCTGGCCCGGCCCGGCCAGCCCCTCTCCTGCCAAGCCCTGCCTCGCGCCCCTCAGCCAGGCCACTCCTCGGGGGCGGGGTGGGGGGGCTGTATTTACACAGGGAAAAATAAGTATATTCCACAGAGGGGAGAAAGTACATTACCTCCGCCCAGGCAGCCATTACATAGGAATACATTGAGGAGGTTTTACTACAACTCCCATGATTCCCCTGGCCTACATCTCCCATGAGTCCCTTGTCCCTGCCTCTCTTTAACCCTCTAGGTGCAGGGAGTAACTGATCATACCTAGTTCATACCTGATACTTTTTATCTGCAGCTCTCGAAGCACTTTGCTAAGTTGGGTGAACACCATTCCTCCTCCCTCTCCCACCCATTTTACAGATGGAGAATCTCCCGCATAAAGAGGCAAAGTGACTTGTCACACAGCAGGTCTGTGGCAAAGTTGGTCCTACAATCAAGGCAATACTGATGCTGAATGTGTTACTTCAGAATCATTGTCAGAATAGATGGTGAACAGAGCTGGTTGAAAAATTACTGTTGAAACTTTTTTGATGGAAAATGGCACTTAGACAACGTAGACATTTGTGCAGAAAAACATTTGTGCATCCCTCGGGTTTTAAAACAAAAGTTTTTAAATTAAAAAAAAATATTTTAAATGAAAACACCTAGCTAGCAAAGGCCTAGGGAAACTTTCCAATGGCCCCAGCATGGGAGTGAGCATTTCCAAAGGGGCATTTTTCCTCTGTAGATTTATATGGCATTTGCCTTAAGGCCTGCCTTCACCTATTTTCACATACAACCAATGAAGATCCTTTTTACCCTCATGCTACTCTTCAGATTGCTTGAGTATCAGCAGCAGAACTCTCAGGTATCACTACTTCCATGTGAGCCATTGATCACACAAACAAATGAACAGAGGGGAATGGAAGTGTGGTTCCAAGGTCTTTGGCCCTGCCCATTATTTGAAAGAGTTTTCCTTTTACTTTTCTGATGTATGAATTACTGGAGAACACTAATAATGTACTTTAGCCAGTTATATGCAAATTACCAATAGAAATACAGCTGCTGTACTCACATCACTCAAACCTAGAGTCAGCAGTGCATACCTTTGCTCAGATAGGGAGCACTTTGGTCTACCCAGAATTCATGCTTCCTTGTAGTGGTATATATCGAAACACAGGATATGAAACAATCTAAGGTTTCTTGCACAGCATCCACACTCATCGTCCCTAAACACTGCTGTTTTATTTGGTGCCTGGATTGTCCATGTTTCAAGTTTGAAAACTGACCCCTGAACATATACAATAGGCCTAATCTTGCTCCCACTGAAGTCAGTAGCAAAACTGCCACTGACTGCAAATAGAGAATGAGCAGGCCCCAAACCTCAGCACTGTACTATAATTTTGCAAAATGAAGATTAAGAGCATTAGGAAGCTACACTAGGTACAGTGGTTTATAGTCCATATTCTTGTCTTGGATAATACATTTAGGTATAGAAAGACAGTGTAGCCTAGTAGATGGCATACTGGACTAGGCCCCAGGAGAGCTGGGTTTGAAACCTGGGTCTGTCATTAACCCATGGGTGACCGTGGGCAAATCACTACTCTTCTCTGTACCTCGGTTTTTCCATCTGTAAAATAGGGGTAATAATATTAACCTCCTCGTAAAGCACTTTGAGATCTGTGGGTGTAAAAACTGTTATATAAGAGCTAGATATTTTATATTATAGTAGCATCTAAGAACTCAGTTACAGACCAGGGCCCCAGTGAGGTAGGCACTATACAGACAAGTAACAAAGAAGATATTTCCTTCCCAAGAGAGCTCACAATCACATGACAAACTGCAAATTCTTCAGGTACAGTTTTAATAGGAATTAATCGAAGACAGAAAATACCAAATGTTACATGTTATTCTGCATTAGTAAAATTCAATTTTCTTTACATACTCCATTTTCAGAAATACAGATATCCTAACCAAAATACACACAAGTTAAAAATCAAACAAATGTAATTAAACTGTTTAAAGCTAAAAAACAAAAACAAAAAAACAAATCAAAAAACAATCCACATGGTTAATCTTATCCCTTTATTATATTGTCCGGCCTTATATAGGGTATGAAATAAAACCAAAACAAGAATTATAAAGGGTGCCTCATAGCACCTGTCATAGTTAAGTTTTCAGAATCTTTTAAATGATACAGACACACAGGGCCTTATTTTACTCTTGTTTACACTGGTGTAGCTTTGTTGAAGTCAATGGAATGATTCCTGGAGGTACTCCTGAATCAGACCCATTTTCCTTTGGGTAATCTTCATCTGCATAGCTGAAGGCATTTTTGCCCTGATTTAAAGTCTATTGAAGTCAGTGGACAGAATCTCCTTGATTTCAGTGGTCTTTTGATGAGTCCCTTTGGCTGGAATCCTCCATCCCAAGCCAAGATGCCTTAGCTAAAGACAATGGAAAGGCTTATCATCCCAAAAGTGTTAGCTGTACTGAAAGGGTATTCATTAAACAGCTCACTCATGTTTAATGGGATGGATGGATTTCCCTAGAGTAACTCAAATGTGTGGTGGGAAGATTGAGAATTTAGTTCTGGTAGCTGAATTCAGGCACAGACTAAAAAGGTACAGTGAAACTTTTCTTAAAACAACTACCCCCGAATCTGTTGCCTACTAAAGGTCAACTTTAACTACAGATCAGACTAAACTGTAGTGGGGACTACATGGGAACACTGTAAAGTGGTTGCTTAGGAAAGGGGGTTACCTAATGAAATCAAGAACTAGTTCAGGGTCCATTGCAAAGAACTACATAAATTCAACGTTATGTTTGAGATTCTACACCAAGGTTAAGAAATTGCAAGCACTGGTTTCCAGAGCATCTGTAATGCAGTTATGTTGTGAGTATGCAACAAAGGTAACACTCATGGCTTGGAGGAAAAATACAGGTTGAAAACGTGGCAGAGTGTCAGTTCTCGTGAAAATCTTCAGTTAATACTTCTTGACTTATGTGTTTAACATCTCAATAATCCCATTGCAATAATATATAATTTTGTATTGAAAATACGTAATAAAAAACAAGCCAATGGAATTAACAACAATTTAAAAATATATTTGCATTTAAAATGATTGTTGCAGGAGGTCAGACTAGAGGATCACGATGGTGCCTTCTGGCCTTAAAGTCTATGAGTCTCAGACCTTAAGAGCTAGATTGTCAAAGTTGTGTGCATGCAAGTGTTTGCATATGCCTAAATGTAAATATCAAAAAGCTCACACACCAATCGGGTATTTGCACACATAGGTAGGTGCCTAACTTGGCTAGACGAAGATGCAAATACCCGAGTTCCATAGGCACATCTCGTATTTGTATGCATAAGCTGGTATACTCAAAGATATGTGACAGGTTTCAGAGTGGTAGCCGTGTTAGTCTGTATCAGCAAAAAGAATGAGTACTTGTGGCACCTTAGAGACTAACAGATTTATTTGAGCATAAGCTTTCGTGGGCTAAAACCCACTTCATTGGATGCATGCAGTGAAAATACAGTAGGAAGATATATATGCACAGAGAACATGTGTATATACAAAGGACAGGCCCAACAAAGAAAGTAACAGAACACCACTAGCCGTCAACTTCAACCCCCAACTAAAACCTCTCCAGCGCATCATCAAAGATCTACAACCTATCCTGAAGGACGATCCCTCACTCTCACAGATCTTGGGAGACAGGCCAGTCCTCGCTTACAGACAGCTCCCCAACCTGAAGCAAATACTCACCAGCAACCACACACCACACAACAAAAACACTAACTCAGGAACCTATCCTTGTAACAAAGCCTGTTGCCAACTCTGTCCACATATCTATTCAGTGAACACCATCATAGGACCTAATCACATCAGCCACACTATCAGAGGCTTGTTCACCTGCACATCTACCAATGTGATATATGCCAGCAATGCCCTTCTGCCATGTATATTGGCCAAACCAGACAGTCTCTACGCAAAGGAATAAATGGACAGAAATCAGACGTCAAGAATTATAACATTCAAAAACCAGTTGGAGAACACTTCAACCTCCCTGGTCACCCAATTACAGACCTCAAAGTCGCAATACTCCAACAAAAAAACTTCAAACAGACTCCAACGAGAAACTGCAGAATTGGAATTAATTTGCAAACTGGACACCATTAAATTAGGCTTGAATAAAGACTGGGAGTGGATGGGTCATTACACAAAGTAAAACCTATTCCCCCATGCTAATTCCCCCCCCCGTTACTCACACCTTCTTGTCAACTATTGGAAATGTGCCATCCTGATTATCACTACAAAAGTTTTTTTTTCTCCTGCTGATAATAGCTCACCTTAATTAATTACTCTCATTAAAGTTGGTATGGCAACACCCATATATATCTTCCTACTGTATTTTCCACTGCATGCATCCGATGAAGTGGGTTTTAGCCCACGAAAGCTTATGCTCAAATAAATTTGTTAGTCTCTAAGGTGCCACAAGTACTCCTGTTCTTTTTTCAAAGATATGTGCATGCCTAACTTTGACTGGGCCTGCTTTTCAGGGATTCAAACACTTCTGTACATAGATGAAGTATTTTAAAAACCAGCTGGAACTGCAAAACAAGCATTTACATTAAGACCTACTGTTCTAGCTTTCTAAAGAAAATACATTTCTTTTACAAATAAAGGAAAATATCTATTGAGATATCACTATCAAAACAAGAAATGAAGCAGACCGATTCTTCACTCTGTACTATGACTTTACAAGAATTAAGAAAGTATTAACATGCTCATTAACTTAATTCCTTCCTATTGAGGATCAGAAACTGGGTTTGTGTTAAGCTTACAATATTAGTAGCTTTGTACACAGCAACAGTGAAAAGTTTACTTTGAAAACATCAGGTATTCTAACTTATGTAGCTACTGTCAAACTAATAAGACCTGGCTTAATCCCAGGTAGAGAGAGTGGGTGAGTTCTGCTCTCATTTACTCTGCTTCAATGGTATTGGATACGATGGAATTGCAGGAATGTAAGTGAGAGCAGAAACTGGCCCCTTAACTAGAAAAGCCTAGAGGTGATATTTGCAAATAAAATAGATGGTTACCCCTCCCCATGGAAATACATTTTCTATTGTTTTTCCACATCTCAAATATTCACAAAGAATAAATTTGTGTGTCTTTCAGGTGAATGCCTCTAAAATCAACTGTTAATGGCTTTAAAATTTGGATATTTCACTCATGCTTAGCACTGCAGAGCAGCCTTCAGTAAATGGAAGCATCTTCATAGTGGAATTTGCCATGAGAATAAATCCTGGGGCTGGAGATTTTCCCATTGTTGCATGGCCAGAGGTAATTGCACAGGTGCATCAAATGCCTTCTGAATTTGACTCCAACAAATACATAGAGCACAGGGTTGAGGCAGCAGTGGGAAAAGGCAATTTTGCGGCTGATGTAGAAGGCATATGCAATGTTCTTTTGAATCTCACAGTTCAGAAAGATGTAATGAGCTGGCAACGTTTGCAGGAAACAGAATATATTGTAAGGTGCCCAACTCAGGAAAAAAGCTACCACAATGGTAAAGATGAGTCTCACAGTTCTGTGCTTCCTATGAGATCTTGTTCTGAGCAGAATTTTCAGTATCTTGACGTAACAAAATACAATAACAGCAAAGGAAAAGAGAAAGAAGACATTTCGCTGATAAATTTCTACCTTTTTCCAATGTAAGTCAATGTAATCGCAGGTACTGAAACCATCCAGATCAATCTGCACTTGGGTGAAAATCATCTCAGGAACCACGACTAATATGCTAGCAGCCCAAATGGCCAAGCTCACCTGAATGCCACACTGGTGTGTCTGAGTACTCAAGGTCGACAAGGGGTTCACCACTGCCAGGTACCGGAGAATAGTCATTATGGTCAAAAAGATAATACCACTGTAGTAGCTGATGGAGAAAACAGTATTCACAGCCTTGCAGAGGAAATCACCAAAAATCCATCCATGCAAATGATACACGATCCAGAAGGGCAGCATGCAAGAGAAGACCAGGTCAGAGATGCAAAGGTTCATGATGAAGATGTTTGTTAAAGACACAAGGCTTTCATACTTCATTAGGATCCATAACACCAAACTATTTCCCAGCAGGCTAAGAACAAAAGCAAGAGAGTACAGGATGGTGGTGAGATGGGCACCAAATGCATGGAGGTCATCCATTTCACACACATTGCCAGAGCCAGTATAATTAGTGAAGTTCCCATACTCCTCATAGTAGTCTGAAAATGAGTTTAAGTCAAAGTTGGATTCACCCATTTGGATGTATGAACCTAAATGACACAAAAGGAACTGTCAAGAAGACACTAATGGTCACAGAAAAATCATAAAAAATCTGGTTGCTTTGGGGGGGTTAAAGAAATATATGGAGATATATCTCTCATATAGAACTGGAAGGGACCTTGAAAGGTCATCGAGATCAGTCCCCTGCCTTCACTAGCAGGGTTTTAGCTCTTCTGGCTTGCAATGAAACTTAAATACGGTAGTGAAACTGTGGGGGTGGCAGTTTTACATCTTTACCTGGAGGAACTGGAATATGATTACAAATGGAATTTTACATTAATAGAACATTAAGCACTGACTTGAATTCTTGCATTTTTTAATTAGTTAAAATTCGAAGTCTCAAAAGCAAGTTAATCAGTTTGCACATTATAGCTGCCAATAATTGAATATTTTACCTGGGATAATTCCAGCTAGAATTGTGTTTATATTAAAGAACAGTTATCAGGACTTCAGAACCCATCCAGTTTTTCTACTGTTCTGAAAAGATATTTAAATTCCATTTAAATTTCTCTGAATTCTACACTCTTTACCCAACACGTGATCCTGTTTCAAGATTCAATTCTGCAGAAACTTATAAAACCAGGCAAATTTCCAATGCCAGTATAGAAATAGATAAAAAATACAAATAGATTAACATTAGTAATGAGAGGATTTTCAAATTGGTATTCTAAAAGAGAACAACTTGCAGCAACTGCAAACACTTTCGCATGATATTGGGTTGGAAGTGAACACGTCGAAGACAACGTGGTTGCAGAATGAGCATTGTGCAGAAGGAATCATCACTGTAAATGGGAAAGAAATTGAGGAGGTCGACAAATATATTTATCTGGGTCAGCAGCTGAGCAGAGACAACTCATTCAAAGGGGAATGCAGTAGGAGGAGAAAGGCGGGGTGGGCAAGTTTCAACAAAATAAAGATGTCTTTAATGTATGGTGAACTGCCCATGAAGAAAAGGAAAGAACTGTTTAACTCCACTGTTCTGCCAGCAATGATATACAGAGCAGAAAGCTGGTCAACAATGAAAGCGGAGAAAGAAAAATTTGCTGTCACCCAGAGAGCAATGGAAAGGCAAATGTGTAAGATATTGCTCCGTGATCACATGAGGAGATCAGAAGGTGTACAGAGGTGAATGATGTAGTGCAGGTGATGTACAACGCAAAGTGAAGATGGGCGGGTCATGTAGTCTGCAGGCAAGACAATAGGTGGACAATCTGCATCAGTGACTGGATCCCCAGAGACCAGAAGCGATCGCTGGGCAGACCGAAAACACGCTGGGTCGATCCCATGACAAAACTCTTTGGCTAGAAATGGAAAGAATGTGCTCACAACAAAATAGAATGGTGTGGTGTTGGCTTGTGTTTGTGGAGATATGGACGAGGACAAGCCAGACAAAGGTGATTCTAAAAGATACAATGGTGTTGATCCAGCTCCTACTGAAGTCAACAGAAATTTAGTCACTGATTTCAATAGGAGCAGAAGCAGACTCATGATGTTTCTGCATTTCCCTCTTCTCTACCTTCCTTTCCTGAACTTTTCCCCTTGAGTCCTTCTTTGTGTTGTTCCCTTTGACTCACTATCTGCCACTTTTACTAAGGCAAATCTGAAGGAAAAATCTCATGGATCATTTACGGGCTTTCCTTATTTACACAAGTAGTTCTATTTGTTGCAGGAGTGCTCTATGGCTGTGTATATGTAAATAGTTACTAGACAAAGCGCTAGTGGATGGCGCTCAAGAACATGGAGCATAGTTCCTAGGTTCTGTAGGACGAGTAAAACTTGTGTACTGCCAATGACTTCCTCTGTTCCTATGTTTAAAAGAAGCTCTTATGACCATTGACTTCAGAAGGCAACCTGTAGGAACTGGCCCAGAGTTTATCGCTTTAAGACCAACTTCTCAAAAGTGGCCTCTGATTTTGTATGCTTCAGTTCTGGTGAGCCCAACTTAGGATACCTATAGCCTGATTCTTCCAGAAGTGTTAAATACCCAGAGCCTTAGTTGAGTCAATGGGAACAGCAGGTGATCAGCACTTCTGAATATCAAGTCTATGACATTTCAAGTGGGGCATCCAAAAATTGAGACATCTGTTATAAATGACCTCTTTTACTACTGATAGCTTCTGTGAGTGATGCCACCATTCCTTTTTCTGCTACATATTGATTTATAGGAAGGGCAAGGTGATTTTTCTTTTTAAATGATTATGAAACTGGGATCTTTTACTGGTATCATTCAGATGAAATGGAAGTCAATAAATACGTGACAGATGAATGTTTGAACCTTACAACTCCTGATTTTGATTAAGACCTAAAATTAAAAAGGGCAAAATTCTGCTCTGATGCACACCTCAGACACTGACCTATTTGCTGATGTTGGGAGGTCACAGTTCTGAGAGGAATTTGTACCAGTAACTCTCAGGGTATGCCCTAATCAATAATACCATCAGTCATTGGCATATTCCCTGTCGGCAGCAATGGCCTCCCCACTCAGGGGTCCCGTGGCTCAGTAACCCACCGTAAGAACCTGCAGGACTAGAAGTGGGAGTCCTAGGGGGTGTTAGACCACTGACCCCTCCACATCACCCCAGAAAGGTTATGCTAGACTCCTACCAGAGGACCTTGTGAAGCTGGGACTAGCAGGAAGTACCGCACAGCAGGACCTGACTAGCAGCTCCTTGCGGCCCACTGATTGGCTGGCACTAGTATTTAAGCCAGGAAGCCATGACAGGGAGTTGTATGAGCAACAATTCAGACTGCCTTGCTTCAGACCCTGAGTGTGAGAGATCCCAGACTCCAGCTTCTGACCCTGCGGCCCTGCCCTGACTCTTGATTTACTCTCTGGCCTGTCTTGGACTCTGACTTCCCAATACCTGGCCCTGCCTGCCTGCTGATGCCTGACTCCTGGTTTGCCCTCTTGCCTGTCTCAGACTCTGATCTTCTGGTACCGACTCGGCCTGACTCCCACTCTGACCACTAGGTCTGATTGACCACCCAAGACCTGGTTGTGATACCAACTTGGTTATGGTAGCCACTCACTCAAACTTGATCAGACAGGCCTCTGTACCTAGACAGGGTGGAGCTGGAACTTGAAGTATCCAACTAGTCCATGGTGACGTGCCCCTGAAATAATAGCTTCTGAAACTGCTCTTGCTGTTGTTGTGCTGTTATCTGGGCCTGCTGAAACTGCTGTTGGCCTGCTTTTTGAGCCTGCTGCTGACATACTAGCCATTTCAGAAGGGTCTGAAATCCAAATTGACACAAGGTTGGCAATAGTCTCTAGCCGTTCTCCTGCTATGCTGTTTTACAAGCAATAAGCTAAAATATACAAACTCAAAAAGTATCAGCTCTCCAGAGTAGCTCCTAAGTTTCCTCAGAGCTCCCTACCTTGGATTCTGGTTAGCAGTTCTGGAGGAGAGAGAGAACTGCTTCACCCTCATTAACCCTCCTAAGGATATCAGCAAGGCTTCTAGGCTCCCTCCAAGAGACACCAAAGACTTGTGCACCCCCAGCATATACAGAAATAGAAATTGGAAAATAACTAGGTGATGATTGGGATGGGCCTGTGGACTTCAGAGAGAAGACAGACATGCAGGGTCATTGTAAAAACATTTTAAAATAGCTTTACAGCAGGTCATAACCCTGTGACCAAATAATTCACAAGAAATAGCGCTTGATGAAAACTAACTTGTTCCTGCTCTATCCTCACAAACATCAAGCAAGGAGCACTGAAAACCCAAGACATCACAAACCAACTTCTCACTTTCCTTCTGAAAGGCAATCTTTGGTTAGAGACACAGGTACTTGCTACTTAATAAAATGGTAGTTAGGCACCTAGGCACGTCTAGGCGCCTATCTGCAGCCTTGGGCACCTAAATACCTGTAAGGGCCAGATTGTCAGTCCTCCTTGCTTTACATTCAATGTGAGACTCCCAGGTTCAAACCCCAGGTCTTCCTTCACTTTGCTCTTTCTTCATAAGAACACACTACTGTGCATGGGGGTATCAATGAAAATGCATATAGGGCAGGCAAACACTGGAGGTGATTAACACGCATTTGGCCCTGATGTTTCAGTTACCAGCTAAATGCAGATAACACCACTATTGGCAGTGAAATTACTCAGGATTTATACTCATATAACCAAACTGAATTTGGCTCTGAAGGTAGAAATTTCCCTAATTTTTGCCATTAGGACACATATGAAGAGAACAAAATACATTGTTCTAGTTACAATAATTCCTACCATTGTTGCACGTTTAGGAATATTGTTTTAATTGTACACAGGCGGTAACATTAGCTTCAGCTATTAATTAAAAACAAAAACAAAAAAACTTCTGCTTTTTCCTACATTTGCTGTTCTCAGTGGTTATATTGTTTTGCTCCAAACTTCTTTTTTTTCCCTTCAAAATACCTTCTGGTAATGTCACAAATGAGGAAATATTACTTTCACTAATATAGGAAGTTGTTTTAAAATAAACCCCACATTTTCTTCTAGCTGTTTCATTCATAATTTCAAAACCACATGAACTAGGTGTTAAAGACGGTGATTAATTTAAGTGTAAAGATTTGCGGTACAATGCACAATAATATGTAATGATAATGTGGTTGTATAAGCAGCACCATCCACTTACAAGACACAATTATAGGCATTTTTAGGCTTTAAACAGCCTTTAGACTGCCTGCTGTGTGGGTTTTTGTTTGTTTTAAAACCTTCAGGAGCAAATGGGCAGCTGTTGTAAGCTCATTTAAGCCAGTGGAGTTACAAGGATATGCAGGGACACACATTAGTTTGCCAACTCAATCCTAAATAAAGATGAACAGGGACTGAAAGTGAACACTTATGTGGCTGAAAAGTTTCTGTCAAAACCCAAATTTAGTTTTTGATTACATTAACATTTTCACAGAAAGTGTCTGCTTTCCTTTTAAACTTTTCATTTGGGGAGCCGGGGGAGGAGACAGGACTTTTCAGTTTTTTTGGCCGAAAACAAGAAAGGGGGTTTGGTCAAAAAGTCAAAATTTTCAGCAAAGAAACCACTTTCCACCCATATATAGTGCTCA